GGGTATCAAACGCAAAGCCCTACATTCAAACTCCAATACCACCAAAATAATAATTCATTAATAAAAAATAACATAACTGGCAGAGGTTTATCCTGAAATTACTATTTTTTTCCTTTTAAGGGTATAGTATTTTGTTTTATTAATTGCACTTTAAAGTTGTTTGACATGCAATGCAGACTACCTCATATTTTCTGTTACATTACTAAAAAGCATTCTGACTTCCCAGAGTACCCATTGTACCCTAAACCTTTTTTCCTAAGCACATGAGTTTCTCCCTCTAGCTACAGCCGAGCACCCGTGGCTCATGCCTGTAATCCTAGCTGCTCAGGAGGCTAAGATCTGAGAATCTCGGTTCAAAGCCAGCCCAGGCAGGAAAGTCCATGAGACTCTGATCTCCAGTTAACCACCAGAAAACCAGAAGTGGTGCTGTGGCTCAAATGGAAGAGCACTAGCCTTGAGCTGAAGAGCTCAGAGACAATGCAGGCCCAGAGTTCAAGACCCAGGACTGAAAACAAAAAAAAAAAGAAAAGAAAAAGAAAATAGAACTTTCAAAGTCTTAAGAAAACTAACACTTAATTTTGGGGTTTTTTAAACATGGCCTGTTGGCTTGTTCATCTTATTTCCTCCACGTCCTCCCCTTCTCCTCCTTCCTTCTTCCCATCCATCTCTGTCTCCTTCTTCTTCTTGCTAGAAATCAAAAGTCTTGCACAGGGGCTGGGAAGGTGGCTCAGTGGTGGAGCACTTGCCTTGCATGCCTGAAGCCCTGGGTTCGATTCCTCAGCATCACATAAGCAAAAAGAAAAAAGCCGGAAGTGGTGCTGTGGCTCAAGTGGTAGAGCACTAGCCTTGAGCTGAAGAACTGAGGGACAGCGCCCAGGCCCAGAGTTCAGGCCCCACAACCAGACCCAAAAAAAAAAAAAAAAACAAAGTCTTGCACACACTGTGATAGCGCTGTATCACTGAGCTCCATGCCCAGCCCTTGGAAAGCGGGCAGCCTTTGTGTAAAGCTGACCTTCCTCTTCTGTGTTTCTAGGATATTATCAACTCATTGGTAACAACTTTGTTCATGGTCATCATATCTGTGTTGGCTCTGCTGCCAGAAACTACAACCTTGACCATCCTTGGAGGAGTAAGTCAAAATCTTCCTAGTTTCTTTCTTTGGGTTTGCTCAGAATGCAACTTATTTGAAACACAGATACAAGTGCAGAAAAACTTCCTCTATTCTTCACTGGGCGGCGGGGGGTGATAGGGAGGGGGGACTGGGAGGGGTATCAGAATAAAGTACTGACCAGCTGATTTTTTTTTTTTGGTCGGTCGTGAGGCTTGAACTCTGGGCCTGAGTGCTGTCCCTCAGCTCTTCAGCTCAAGGCAAGCACTCTACCACTTGAGCCACAGCGCCACTTCTGGTTTTCAAGTGGTTTATTGGAGTTAAGAGTTTCATGGACTTTCCTGCCCAGGCTGGCTTTGAACCTCGATCCTCAGATCTCAGCCTCCTGAGTAGCTAGGATTACAGGCTTAGCCACTGGCGCCCGGCTCAGCTGAATGTTTTGTTTGAATGAATTCATGCCCTAATTAACAGGAAAGGACATGATTTCATACTAGAACTTGAGGATTCCTTATTCAGGTGAGACAAACCACCTAGTAGTTCTTCAGGTGGAATCTAAGAGATGTCCTTACGGTAAGGAAGTGTAATAGGAAGCGTGGTAACTAGAGGATTGTTCAGGAGAGTTCTAGAAAAGAAGCACATCAACTTCCTCAGACCTGATTCTTCTGCAATTCAGAATTGTTTGCCTTTTTAAGGTTCTGATGTGAAGGATTGAAATAAAACATTTCCTATCACCTCCTACTGTTTTGTTTTTGTCGGTTATGGGGCTTGAACTCTGGGCTTGAGCACTGTCCCTGTGCTCTTCAGCTCAAGGCAAGCTCTCTACCACTTAAGCCACAGTGCCACTTCCAGTTTATTGGAAATAAGAGTCTCCCAGACTGTCCTGCCCAGGCTAGCTTTGAACGGTGATCCTCAGATCATAGCTAGGATTACAGAGGTGAGCCACCGGCACCTGGCAACCTCCTGTTTTTGTTTTTGTTTTTTTTTAATTTTTGTTTTGTTTTATTTGTTTCTGTTTCTGTTGTTGTTGTTGTTGTTGTTTTGGACTTTTTGTTGTTGTATTCCTATACTCACTGTCCTTTAGTTTTTCAGAAAACTCAAGGCTGGCCCTGTACCACTTGAGCCCCACAGCTCCACTTCCAGCTTTTTGCTGATTAATTAGCAATAATAGTCTCACAGACCTTCCTGCCCAGGCTGTCTTAAAACTGTGATCCTGAGATCTCATGCTCCTGAGTAACTAGGATTACAGGCATGAGCCACTAGCACCCAGCTGTTGTTTTTCTTTTTCCTTTTTTGTTCCACTTGTTTTTAAAAATCTTATTCTTGTCTGCTATGAAGAAAGAAGGGCCATAGAACTTTTTGTTCAAATTAAGTCCTGGGAAAGTAGAGTTATGCTATCTGATAGGAATAAACACCAGTCATATGTGGCTACTGAGTATTTGAAATGTAAGGTGTGGTTAGTCTAAATTGAAATAAGCTTTCAGTATAAAATACACATTGAATCCCAAAAATTTGCTGTCTCCCTTTCCCCACAAAAGAACGTAAAACCACTTCATTATTAACTTTATTATCCTAAATGACATACTAAGCGACAATATTTTGGATATATTGAGCTACTAAGATGGATTAATAAAATCAATTTTGCTCTTTTTTTTCATATGACTCTTGGAAAGTCTTCCATCACTTGGCTCACACTGGTGACTCCCATATTCATTTCAGACAATCCTGAGAGGAGTCATGAGCCCTGTCTGTCCTCAAGTTGCTTAGAGCCTAACAGGAGTTATAGATGCGTAACTGACAATTCTGCCCTTTGCAGAACTGTCTTTGTCCCACTACCTTTCTCTGTCAGTGGAATTAATATGTTGCCAAAAACAAGAAGAAAAGAGGAAAGCTGCTGGGTACCAAGGGCTCACACCTATAATCCTAGCTCCTCAGGAGGATCTGAGGATCGCAGTTCAAAGCTAGCCCAGCAGGAAAGTCTATGAGACTCTTATCGCCAATAAACCACCAGAAAACCAGAAGTGGCACTGTAGCTCAAGTGGTAGAGTGCTAGCCTTGAGCTAAAGAGCTAAGGGACAGCGCCCAGGCCCAGAGTTGGCCCACAGCCGACAACACAAGGGGGAGGAGGGGCAAAGCTCCCAGAAACAGAATTAGCAATGGGCAGAAATGCCAAAGACCTAGAAGGATCAGTCAGAACCCAGGAGGAGATGGCTTGAGAGTGGGTGGAAAGGGCGGATGTGGGAGCCAGGAAGCCAGAAATGTTGAAAACTCACTGAAGCTGGAACAATAGGAGTCCATCTCCCCCACTTGCTGCCTCCAACACACATGGCCTTGTAGATTGATGGCTGCTCTGACTGCACAGCGCAGGCCAACAGAGCTGCCCACAGCGTCCAGCACTGTGTAGTGGTACCCTGTCAAACTGAATGGCATGCCAGGAATGCCCTTCTCCAACCTAGCTCCTATCAGCGCTCAACCATCAGAATTCCTAAAGGCCCTGAACATAAATATAGCTTGTTCCTCTTACCCCAGTTTTATTGTCCTAAGACCTTTGAAGTTTGCTTTGGATCATTTTGTCACTCCTGTTCTCCAGAGCTTTGACCACAGCTGTAGTCTCCATGATTTCATCTGGAGCTGCTGTTGGCCCTGTTTTGTTTTGTTTTGCAATACCCAGACATTACAGCACAAAGCGTGTACCATCACACCCAGCTGACATTAGCTTTGGCCCTTTCACCTGATTGGCAATAGGGAAATCAAACATTTAAACACTAGGAAGAGAAATGTTGATAACCAAATGTGGTCAGTGGGCCGTAAAAGAATATATTCAGAATATATTCACAACTCAAGCCTGTAATCCTTGCTGTTCAGGAAGCTGAGATCTGAGGATTACAGTTCAAAGCCAGCCTGAGCAAGAAAGTCTACAAGACTCTGATCTCCAGCTAACTACCAAAAGGCTGTGGCTCAAATGCTAGAGTGCTGAAGCCCAAAGTTCAAGCCAATGAGAGACAGACAAAGTATTTCAGAGCCCATACCACTTCAGTGTTTTTCCTGCCTTTCCTTTTGTGTAGGCAGCTTTGGGGAAAAGTGGCCAGGACCTGCAAAGTCTCTTCCCCTTTTAACGTAGGGTGGCAGGACCCCAGCAGGTAGCAATCGGGTGGGTAGACCACTTTAAACTGCATGAATGACAGAAGCCGGTGACCAGTGTGTCTTCCTTTCTAGGTGTTTGGTCTGCTGACGGTGGTGTGCTGTCTGGCCGACAGTGCCCTCATTTACCGGAAACTTCTATTTAATCCCGGTGGTCCTTATCAGAAAAAGACATGAACACTTGACCAAAACAAGGCTTTGTGATTTTTTTTTTATATTCCTTTTTAGTTGGTGCTAAGGATTAAATATAATTTCTTTATTCTTCTCTACATTTTCTGCCATTCTCATTTGAATCTCAGTGTGGGAGCTGGAGGCAGAGCTCTGTGAACCCTGGGCACAAACTTCCTTGGAGCTTGGGAATGGGGGACGGAGGGGGGAAAAGGGGGGGCGGGTGGGGAAAAGGGGGGTCGGGTATCTGCTCCCCGAGCCTGTGGCAGGGTAGAAGCGCCCAAGACGGCCCTCAGTGACTCAGAACTGCTTCCTCAGCCCGAGTGGTGGGGATGCAGGGATTTTGAGCTCCCCTGGTGGAGGGGGCGAGCAGGGGAGGGGGGACAAGGGGGGGCGGGGAACGTGGTCTTGTCCTGGGGGGGGGGGCCCTCGTCCAGAACCAGGGCGCACGCGGGATGGGTGGCCAGCAGCCGTTGGGGCGCGGCGCTAGTTCCCCTTCCCAGGCGAGAGCCACCGCCTGGGCGCCAGCTGGAAGTCACAGAGCCAGCCTGCCCACGCCAGGCCCCCCCGGACCCCCGGCCCCACCATGAATCCGGAAAGGGTCCCTTCCGGATACTTGGACCCATTGGAGCCCCCTGCGTTCCCAGCCACATCGGCTCCTGCGGACTCTCAGCGCTCGGGGAGCACCATCCACAGTGCGCCCTCGCTGCACAGCCGGCCCGAGGCGCCCTCCCGGCACTCCCCGCAGTCCATTCATTCTTTGAAGCCAGAGCATGAAGAATTTAGGGAGTCCCAGGAAACAGCAGAGGAGGAAGCCGCCATGAATCGGGCTAAGCATCGCACCAAGGTTCCGGAAAAATACACTGACAGCTGCAAGGCGTTTTTATTCTCTCTCCATGGAATCCTGAAGATTTTGAGGATGGTGAGGATGGTGGCTGGGCGGTGGAGGGTCGCCTGGCCTCAACCACTTTGGTCCAGAGGCCTAGCTCAGGAAATAATTCTATGACTCACTCACGGTTCTTCAGCCTCCATTACTTGCCCTCCCTTTTTCCCAGGTCTTTGTGTGTGTGTGTGTGCGCATGCGTGTGTGTGTGCGTGTGTGTGCGCATGTGCATGACAGTACTGGGACTTGAACTCAGAGCCTCTGGCTCACACTAGCGCTCTACCACTTAAGAGCCACAATTCCACTCCTGGCTTTTTGCTGGGAGTTGGAGACAAGAGTCTCATGAACTTTTCTGCCCCGGCTGGCTTTTAACTATGATCCTCAGATCTCAGCCACCTGAGTAGCTAGGATTACAGGCATGAGCCACTGGTGATTGGCAAATATCTGTCTCTTATATTTCTCAAGTTTTCCTCTTCTAGGAAATTAGGGAATCAATGACGCTTGTAGCAGAAATGTGTAAATTTAAAAACAAAGGGTGGGCTTGTTCAATACAAGAGCTGCCATTTCAAAGACATTTATTAAGGGGGCTTGGAGGTATGACTCAAGTGGCAGAGCATCTGCCTAGCAAGCATGAGGCTCTGAGTTGAGGACCAAGTAATGCCATACAGGAAAATAAAGTTGAAAAGCCTAATTGAAACTGAAAAACTATAGCCCCTAGATGAGAGCTCTCATCTTTATCATCTCAAATAACGGGTCCATGGACACAGAGGGGAGAAGTAAAATGGCAGAGACTTACTGAAGAAAAAGATAAGCAGAACTCCTGCTAGACCAGAGATCCCAAGGGTGGCACCTTCTGGGGTACAAGGGTTAATAAGATGTCTCTAGGAGAGAACTATATGACAATCATTGGACAGCCTGCCTATCCATCTCCAGATCAACTCAGAGGCTCTGGGCAGCCTGCAAGAGCTCTCCATGCATTCTTTAGCCTCTGACAGGATGCCTGCTCCCCTGCACACCTCTGGGGCACATGCAAGTGTTCCAGGGGCAATGGGCCGTGATGATTGATGCAAGGCAATGGTAATTGGTGTCTAGAGGCCTGCATACTTGACTGCTCGAGGCCATGGTGAGGGATGCATATCCTCTGGGAGGGGGCCTTTCCCCTGATTGCCTGTCAGGCTCTTCTGCTCTTGAATTGATACATTACTGGCCAATATAATACAGGGGAAAAGGGGAGAGAGGACATGTTTGAAGTTAAAAAACAGAATGGGATATAATGACAGACACAGGCAACAAGGCAAAGATCTCAGTCTGAATAACAGCCGACTCTCTAGGGAAATATACATGACCAAAACTGATCTTAGAATAGCAACAGATCTGAACATATCAATATATAAGCATAGAAAAAAAGATGAACATTAGGCATGGAGTATTTTTCAAAAGTGAATCTGGCCCAGAGTTTCTCACAGCTTAAAAATTCAAACCTTCATGATACTACTATTCAAACCTGACACTACTCAATTTTTTTTTCAGAGAACATAAGGAAAAACATTTTTGAATTTGTTTTTTATAAAGTCAGTCAAACGCTGGTATCAAAATCTGATCATGCCAGGTGCCAGTGGCTCACACCCATAATCTCAGGAGACTGAGATGTGAGGATCAGAGTTCAAAACATGTCCAGGCAGAAAAGTCCATGAGTCTTATCTCAAATTAACTCACCCCCAAGTGGTGGCTCAAGTGGTAGAGCGCTCAAATTAACTCACCCCCCCCCCCCAAAAAAAAAAGAAAAAGCCAAAAGTGAAGCTGTGGCTCAAATGGTAGAGTACTAGCCTTGAGCAAAAAAAGCATGCAGGGACAGTACTCAGGCCCTGAGTTCAAGCCTCAAAACCAAAACATGCACATGCACACACACACACACACACACACAAACCAAAAAAAAAAAAAGCAGGTGGTGGTGGGGTTTGAACTCTGGACCTGGGCACTGTCCCTCAGCTCTTCAGCTTAAGCAAGCACTCTACCACTTGAGCCACAGCACCACTTCTGGTGTTCTGGTGGTTTATTGGAAAGAAGAGTCACACACTCATGCCCAGGCTGGCTTTGAATCGAGATCCTCAGATCTCAGCCTCCTGAGTAGCTAGAATTACAGGCTTGAGCCACTGATGCCTGGCCAAATCTATATCTTACTTGTACCAAACACACTTACTAGAAATGGAGCTCAGAGTTCAGTGGTAGAGCAGGTGCTTAGCATGGCTGAGATCCTAAGTCAGATCCCTAGTATGGAAAAAAATTAACATCAGAAAATTTTACCAATATGTTTTTTAAAAATATCACCAGGAGGAAATAAGAATGAGTTAGCATTAGGACTCTATTAAAATAATGACCATATTATAAAAGGAGGAAAATTATGAGGTAAGATCTAATGGAGTTTAAAAAAGTGATAAAATTCAGCATATAGTTCATATCAAAAAGAAAGAGGAAGAAAAGGGGAATATATAGATATTTCATTTATATACAGGCCAGTGGCTCTGGCCCTTAATCCTAGCTACTCAGGAGGCTGAGATCTGAGGATTGAGGTTCAAAGCCAGGCCAGGCAGGAAAGCCTATGAGACTCTTATCTCCAATTAGCCATCAGAAAACCAGAAATGGAGCTGTGGCTCAAGTGGTAGAGAGCTAGCCTTGGGCACAAAAGCTGAGCTCAGGGACAGCACCTAGGACCAAAGTTCAAGCTCCAGAACCACCCTCCAACCACCAAAGGAAAAAAGAGAGAAATTAACCTCTCAAACTAAAAGTCCTTATCATCTTTAAATAAACATCAGAAGTATTCCCATGAAAATGAGGGAGAAGAAAGATGCCCACAAAACTTATTATTCAGTAGCTTTTGTGGAATCCCAAATCATCACAACTAGGAAATAGAAGCCAGGCTAAGTAGCATGTACCTGTAATCCCAGCAGTCAAGAGGCTGAGGTAGGAAGATCTTGAATTCAAGGCCAGCCTATGCAAAATAGGAAGAGTCTACCTCAAAATAAATAAAATTAAAAAATGTAAAAATGTATCATTTCTTTCAACTGATGTGATTATAAATCAAAAATATCGAAGGTAAACAACTAGGAAGCAGACAATTTAAACTACTGAGTTCATAAATAAATGAAACGATTTCCTATAGAACTTCAAAGCCAGCCTAGGTAGGAAATTCTATGTGATTCCTATCTTCAGTTCAACAGCAAAAAGCTGGAAGTGGAGTTATGGCACCAGATTGAGCAAGAAAGCTAAGGGACAGTGCCTAGGCCCGGAGTTCAAGCCCCAGGCACAAAAATAAAAGCACTAGAGAAGGAACTGACAACTCAATAAGAAAGAATCATCTCTCCAAATACATCAAAGAATGTAGTATAAATAGTGGCTGAATTTCAGTTACAAGGCTGTGCTGTGCTGTGCTGTGTATGTGTATAGACTTCTTTCGAGAAAAATAAACTGTTAGCTGGGCACTGGTGGCTCACACCTGTAATCTTAGCTACTCAAGAGACTGAGATTGGAGGATCACAGTTCAAAGCCAGCCCAGGAAGGAAAATCTGTGAGACTCTTAACTCCAATTAACCACCAGAAAAATGGAAGTGGTGCTGTGGCTCAAGTGGTAGAGTACTCACTTCGAGCTGAAGAGCTCAGGGACAGAACCCAGGCCCAGAGTTCAAGCCCCATGACCAACAAAAAGAAAAAGAAAAAGAAACTGTTGATAGCAATTTCCTCCCAGGAGACAAACTAGGGGAAAAGAAAAACACAGAATTTTTTAACATTTCTATATTGTGTAACATTTTATCACTTGCATACATTATTTACTTGCTTAAAATCATAAATTTTAAAATTAAACTCTAGGTGCAAAATAAAATGGGCAATTACATTATATAAGCAAATTTACATTTTGACTGTTTCTTTTTGGTATCAATTTTGGGGCTTGAACTCAAGGCATAGGTGCTGTTTCCTTAGCTTTTTGGTAATTAATTGGACTTAAGAGTCTTAGACTTTTCTGCCCTGTCTGACTTCAAACCACAATCCCCAAGTCTCAGCTTCCTGAATAGCTAGGATTACAGGCATGAGTCACCAGTGCCTGGCTTGACAACTTATTTATTTACTCATTTTCTTATGTTTTGGCAATACTGGGTTTGAACTCACGGCCTCATGTTTGCTCAGCAGGCTCTCTTCCACTGAGCCCCACCTCTTGCCCTTTTGCATGCTGTTTAGTTTTGAGATGAGTCTATCTTCTTGTCCAGGCATGTATTTGGACTGGTATGTACCTGGACTATGGTCTTCCTACTTTAGAATTCCCATTAGAGCTGAAATGGCAGGTGTGTACCAACCGACCAGCCTCTTCCATTGAGATGGAGTCTTGTGGGCTTTTCTGCCCAGGCTGGCTTGGAATCTTGGTACTCTCAATCTTAGACTCCCACATAGCTAGGATAACAGGTATCATCCAGCTATGGGTTGAGGAGAGTTCTCTCAAACATTTTTTTTAAACCTAGACCGATCTCAAGTCAAAATCTCAACCTTGTAAGTAGCCAGGATTACAAGGATAAGCCATCAGCATCCAGCATTTATTTTTCGAGTATCCCTGTGCATTAAACCCTGTTTCTTCTGTTGCAGGTACTTGTGGTGGGAGCGGTTGTTTGCTTCATCATCGGCCAGGCCCACCAAGCATTCATAGCAATCACAGTTCAGGAAGTGTGCATCGTCATTTTCTTTATTTTAGTATATCTGGTAACTCTTCAACACTTGCTCATCTGTTTAAACTGGCCTTTACTTGTAAGTGTTCATTTTTATAATTCACCAGAGTTTCTCTCTAGATAAGGACACAACAGAGCTACGATGGAGAGCTGCCCCAGTTCTAGGGGAGAACCCAGTATCTGGGAAAGGTCACTTGAACCTCTCTGTCTACAGCAAAGCCAACATACATGCACAGACACACAGACACAGACACACACACACACACACACACACACACCTGTTCTGGGCTCAATATGAAGCCCAACTCATTGTGTCATTAATCACAGGCTACTTTTTAACATCTTCTGGTAAAAATTTGAATCCTCATACTCAATGAGTGAACACATTTTCTCAGCTAGTGGTCATCAAACAGTTCAGGCTTTTTACTTTTCAAATAGCACTCTGACAATGACAGACATCTTCCCAAATGCAAACATTGACATAATAGAGTTGTAGGAAATCTTTTGGGAGAACCCTAATCGATTGCAAGTATCTTCCCTTTTGTGTGTATTCAAGAATGGCTCACACCTATAATCCTAATTACTCAGGAGGCTGAGATCTGAGGATCCTAGTTTGAAGTCAATTCTGGACAGAAAAGTCCGCTCTTATTTCCAAATAACCCCCCAAAACCAGAAGTGGAGCTGTGGTTCAAGTGGCCCCTGTCCCCTGACTTCATTCACATCTGAGTATCTTGTTTTACATAATCCTAAGGTCTGAAGTTTCTCACAAAGCTGCTATAAGCATACCTCTCTCTGAGCCTGCAGAGCTCAACTCTGATCCGCACCAACCCTGCTCCACGTGCCCATGCTAGTATTTTCTACCATGTACCAAAACATAAGACATTACAGCCTTTTCAAGAGGCATGTCACACTCCATACTAGGACTCCTCACTTGCTGACCTAAACAGGAGGAACACCTGCAGATAGTAGGGCAGACCCAATTCTGGTTGTCTCAGAAAACATCAAAAGTTAACCACAGAAAAAAAATCCACTCTTGAAAAATCAGGCCTGCTTTTCAGATGGATGTGTGTTTCTTGGGGGATGTGAACTCAGAATATAAGAATAGAATTAAATCTGTAAGGTGCCAATCTAAAATTTTACTTCCTTCCCTCGAAGGAAGTTTTACATTAAAACAAATGTGAACTGGGCCTCAGTGGCTCACACCAGCAATCCTAGCAACTCAGGAGGCTGGATCTAAGGATCACAGTTCAAAGACAACCCAGACAGGAAAGTCCAGAAGACTCTCATCTTCAGTTAACTACCAAAAAACCAGAAATGGAAGTGGTAAAGTGCCGACCTTGTGCAAAAAAACTAAGGGCTGGGGCTGGGAATGTGGCTCAGTGATAGAGTGCTTGCCCAGCATGCACAAAGCCCTGGGTTCAAATCCTCAGACCCACATACACAGATGAAGTCAGAAATAGTGCTGTGGCTCAAGTGGTAGAGTGGCTCAGGGACAGTGCCCAGGCCCTGAGTTCAAGCCCCAGGACTGGCCAAAACAGAAAACAAAACAAAATAAAACAAAACAAAATAAAACAAAACAAAAAAGCTAAGGGAGAGCAAGAAGGCATTGAGTTCAAGCTCCTGTACAGGCACACATACCCACTCACCCACAAAACACACACAAATGCAAAAAGGTGTTCGAGGTTTGGTTCACATAGAGAAACACCTGCCTAGCAGGTGTGAAGCCTTTAATTCAAACCCCAGTACCACATAGAAAAATAAAACCTTTAGACCATTCAATTTCTTCTTGTGCCCTTTTATTTAAAAAAAAAAAAGCAGAGGAAAAGTCAAATTTTTTAAAATGAAAGTAAGGCTATTTTTATAGACAATACATTCCAAGACCTTAAAATCAAAAAACTCATATCTCTGGAAAAATGTAGAAACTGTGCCCCTCCCATGCTAAGAAGGAAAGTGTTTAAAAGGTATCCATCCTTAATAACCTGGGAAATTAAAATATGATACGAATATTACATTTCCATGCAAACCTTACCATTTTCAACTCTTGTGTTACAGGATGTTATGAACAGTTTCATTTCAACTGTATTCCTTTTAGTGGTTGCCATGATGACAATCCAAGAAAAGGGAAGGAGGCATTTGTTCTATGTTGGAGGGGTAAGTATAGACCTTAGTAACACCATCTCAGATCAAGACTCTAACAAAGGAAACTGCAGACCATCATTACATCACTAACAAAACTAAATAAACAAAATCCCCACTCCCCTCTCCCCTTGTTTTTGTAGCGATGTCAAATGATGTGAAGCCACAAAGACTTTAAGCTCATGAAAAGTCACAACCCTAATACGTATTCTCTGAAGTACAAAAAAAAAAGGCAAACAAACAGGAGTCTGTGTAACCTCTTTTGAGAATGGTATACGCTATATTTAAAATATTGCGGCAAAACCAGGCACCAGTGGCTCACACATTTAATTCTAGCTAACCAGGAAGCTGAGATCTGAGGATCACAGTTCAAAGCCAGCCTGGGCAGCAAAGTCTGTGAGACTCTTATCTCCAATTAACCACTAGGAAACCAGAAGTGGCACTGTGGCTCAAGTGGTAGTGCACTAGCCTTGAGCTGAAGAGCTGAGGGACAGTGCCCAGGCCCAGAGTTCAAGTCCCACAACCAACCAAAAAAAAATATTGCAGCAAGCTATTTTATGCCTACAAATGGGACTTTGACATTTCTGGACTAAAAGGTGGTATTTTAAAGACAGTGAAGGGCTGGGCATGGTGGCTCATGCCTGTAATACCCACTATTTGGGAGGTGGAGATTGGAAGAATTGAGGCTAGCTAGGACAAAAGTTTAAGGAAAACCCATAGCACCCATATCTCAATAAGCCAGATGTGGTAATACAAGCCTGTGATTACCAACTATTAAGAGGCTGTAGGTAGAAGATTACAACCTGAGGTTAACCCAGACAAAATGTGAGACATTACCTGAAAACTAACTAAAATTCATAAAAGGGTTGGAGACATGTCTAAAGTAAAGCACCTGACTAACAACCAGAAGCCCCTGAGTTTAGACTCCAGGAGAGAGAAAACAGAGTGCACTATCTCTGGTTTTACTGATGTAGAAACTGAGGTTTAATACCTGTCCTGAATCATGGGCTGAGATTCAACCCCATCTCACATGGAAGAACGGAATAACAGGAAGATTGAGTGCTTGGAAGATGAGAGGAGTGGAAAGATGGAACTTTGGTTCCAAAAGTTAAATAATGCTGACAGAAATTCATCAGGAAAAAAAAAATGAAGAGTTTTGCTTCTTTTTGTGTCAGCCCGGAGCTAGAACTCAGGGCCTGGGTGCTCTCATTGAGCTTTTTGCTCAATGCCAGTGCCCTACCACTTGAGCCACAGTTCCATTTTCAGCATTTTTTTGGCAGTTAATTGGAGATAAAGAGTCACAGACTTTCCTGTCCAGGCTGGCTTTGAATCACAATCTTCAGATCTCAGCCTCCCGAGTAGCTAGGATTACAGGCATGAGCCACCAGCACGCGGCAGAGTTGAAGTTTTTGGAATTAATCCTATCATGGGTGAATATTTGTCAGTTCTCCTGGACTATGCCAAGCTACGCTCAGTATTTGGGCACAGAGCCCCTTCCAGCTTGGAGAGCTCACAAATTAGCTGAGGCAAGAACTACTTAGGAAAAGATAGGAATTAAGCGTTCATAAAGAGAGAAAGATGGAGGCTGACGTTTCCAGCATCCTTTGGGCCTCCCATCCTCCTCTTTCTAATACAGCCCAAGAGCCCTTCTCCACCACCACCACCACCACCACTGCCAGGAGTCTCCAAAACCTCCCCCAGCCCCAACCACCCCATTTCCCAAATTCCTTTCTCTGGAAAAGGCGGAACAGGCCTGCAGCACCCAGGATGGTAATGGAAGTTCAGAGCTGCACAGGAGACATTGTGTGCGCAGGCCCAGACCCCGCCTGACATAACCCAGCCTTTCTTTCCCGCGCATGCCCCTGCGTCTGACAGAACCTGTGTCTCATAGCGGCCATCCTGTGTTGCTTGGATGCGTTGGGGGTCATCAGGAGGATGAGGCAGATGAAAGAGCCTCAGACAAAGGCAAGCTCGGAGACCTTGCTCAAGACGAACTGAAGCAGGGCGGGTCTCCCCGGCCCCCCACGGCCCCCCCAGCGCTTGTAACCCACGCACCACTGAGCTCTCCCTGTCACCCATTCCGGCCTCCCGTGTGACCATATAAAATCAGGGCTGCTTAGTTGGGAACACTTCTGCTTCCGCGTGTTGCCTGCTCTCCACAAGTCGCACTGGGCTTCTCGGCGGGGCTGCGCGCACCAACTATGGTGGGGGGGGACCCCAACCCAGGATGCTGCCTAGCCAGCCCGTGGCAGATTCAACCCGAAGCCACCTGGCTAGACCCGGCTAGAACCAGCAGGAAACCTCTGCCCGGAGGCGGGGCGCGAAGGAGGCTTCGGATCTGGTCGCTGTGGGCAAACCCGTCCCGAGCGCATTCTGGAGGCGAGGCGGGCGCGCGGAGCGGGGACAGGCGTTGGCATGCGCTGAGCCTGGCAGTTATCTGAGCGTGGCCCCTGAGCCGATCGGTAGACACTAGGCTTTGTTCCTGGGCGGGGCCTGTCCAGGGACAACAGAAGAGACCGAAATCATAAGCCCAGTCTCAAGGTCAGCCAGGCTGTACAAAGCTGAAAATTCCAACCAGCCATGGATGCTAAGTCGCAGCAACCCAAGACTTTTGGCGCCCGCGCAAAGGAGGTTTGGGATCAAACAAAGAAGGGAGTTGAGTACCACCAGAACGAAGTCAAAGAAAGCAATAAACCATTCTGGATCAACGGGCATGGCATAGTCAAGCTCCTGGGTTTGGTAAGTTAGAGCTCTCTCCCTGAACGGGTGTTCTAAGATCAGGTTGGGGGGTGGGGAGAGGGTTCCAGGGACTCAGGAGCATGTTTCCGTGCAGATCTGCCTGATAGCTAGTATAAAGATATTCGCCACGACCACCGCACACCCCATTTTGACGCTGATCCTCTATATGGAACTGTTCATCGCTGTCTTCTTTCTCATCCTCTACATCTGTGCCATTAACAGATACCTGTCCTTCATCATTTGGCCTATTTCTGTAAGTGAGGGAGGGGTCGGGAAGGGAGCTCTGGGCTGCTCACCACGAACATGGCTTGGCACTTAGAAAACCAACAGACAGAAACTCACCTCTAAAGCTTGTGCTCAGGATCTGCTGTGGGGAGCGGGGTGGGGACGGGGACAGCTAAGCAGAAAATGCTCTCCACACTTAGTTGAGTGTGTCTTGTGTTAGAGTGGAAACTCTTACTGGAAGGAAGAGGGCCTGGGACCTTGCTCTCAGAGAACAAAGACGTAAGGATTGCTCTTCTCCATCTGCCAGTCACACATGGATTTGGGGAGCTCATTCCAGAATTCAAAGAAGAAAATTGCCACCAGCACCCAGCTCCATGTCCCTTATAGTTTTGTGCAGAGTCTTCAGTTTATATCTGGCAGATTTGGATTACGGTTGTATTACTGTTGTCCCTTAGCTGGGATGACAGGTGTGTATCACCAAGCCTAGCTTTTATTGGTTGAGATGGGAACTCAGAACCTTTTCTGGCTCTAGCTAGCCTCAAACTAAGATCCTCCCAATTTCGAAGACCTTCCAGGCAAACAGAATTAGAGAGGTGAGCCACCACATCTGCCTTAATTTTCTTTTTCTTGCTTGCTTGCTTGCTTGAACTCAGGGCTTCGGCGCTGACCCTGAGCTTTTTTGCTCAAGGTTAGCACTCCACCACTTTGAACCACAGCTCCACTTCACTTTCCTCATGATTAATTTGAGACAAGAGTTTCACTGACTTAGCTGCCCAAGCTGGCTTCAAACCATGATCCTCAGATCTCAGCCTCCTAAGTAGTTAGGATTGCAGACATGAGCCATGGCACCTGGTTTTCATTCTGTCTTTCTTTCCTTCTTTTTCTTTTTTCATGCTGGTATTACAGCTCGAACTCAGGGCCTGGGCTCTGTCCCTTAAGGGTTTTTTTTTTTGAGGGGGGTTGTTTCTTTTTGTGGGGCGTTGGGTTTGTGTGTGTGTGTGTGTGTGTGTGTGTGCTCAAGACTGGCACTATACACTTGAGCCACAGCTCCACTCTCTTTTTTTTTAATGGCCCTACAATAAATTGTACTAATAGGGCTTGCATTTTAAAATTACATTCTCTCTCTCTCTCTCTCTCTCTCTCTCTCTCACACACACACACACACACACACACACACACACACACACACACACACACACCAAAGAAAGGCCATATAAAGACTGAAAGGTAGCTGTCTCCAGCCAGGGAGAAAACTCTCACTAGAAAGCTAATGTGCTGGTACCTTATTTATCAACATGTAGCCTCCAGAAATAGAAAAAAAAAAAAAAAGAACTCAGACCTACAGTCATCCAGCAACTTGGTATATTACAGATAGTATTATAACTGGATGGAAGGGGTTCGTAAAAATGTTAGGGATGGGTAGAATGGGACAAGGGACCAGAGACAGAAACAGAGGGATTAAAATTAGAACTTTACAAAAGGACACATTAAAAAAAACAAAATTAAATAAGTCCATAGGCAGTGCACTGGTGGCTTACACCTCTGATGCTAGTTCTTTAGAAGTCCGAAAATTAAGTTCCAAAGTGAACCACGCTAACCATTCCAAGAGTTTTATCTCCAATTAAGTAGCAAAAAGCTGGAATGATTAAGCATGATCCAAGTGGTAGAGTACCAGCCAGGGGTGTAAAGGTTAAGTGTGAGTGTGAGACTCTTGAGTTCAAGTTCCACAATCGGGACCCCCCCCCATAAAGCGAGTGTTAGAAGGTATGCTGTTTTGCATTTAAATTTTTGAAACCTAGAGAAGTATACATTTCTACATATTATATACACATATAAAATGTAGAAAATTACACACTTGGGAAAAGTATATCTCAACTTCTACCATGTGGCCTGTGGGAAGGCCAGAAAAGGAGACTGAGACAGAGGGACAGGAAAAGGGATAGCGAGGTAAGACGAGTTCATTCCAGAAAGTTTCACTTGAGATCCGAAGTCCTGAACATCTGTTAAATTTCAGTGGTTGGAAACCTGGAGAGGGATGCTATTCTATCATTTTTGGCAAGTTTGAAGCATATCCAAACTCAGAAAGCAAGAGAAAAAAGACTAGGCCCCTGAAAGGACAACTCAGAGAAAAATGGCATCATGGGAACCAAGGGGGGAACGGGGTGACCAAACACTGTAGGCCAACGCTGGCCATCTTTCTGAAGAGGGAATGTGTCCCATGCTGTGCTCGTTAAATAAGAGCAGAGGAAGCTGGCTTGTCGTGGCCATTATTTGGCCAACTCTGAGAAGTCTGGCTGTTCATTTTCCCAGTGCTGCCAGGGAAAGAAGTAGTGGGAAAAGACAAGCATGAAGTCCTAAGGACTGGAGAAAAAAAGTTGAAAAACACTGCCTTGCAAAGAAGGTAGGGGGTCCAGGAAATAAGGCAAGAGCTGGGGTAAACAGGGACCTGCTACAGACCCAAAGATTACCTCCTGCCAGCAATGCCACCTCCAGGACTCCAGACAGGAGCTGAGCTCTGAGAGCAGAAAGTAGATGTGGGAAGGTACTCAAAAGGGACATCATGAGCCGGGCAATGGTGGCTCATGCTTGTAACCCTAGCTATTCTTTTTTTTTTTGTCGGTCGTGGGGCTTGAACTCTGGGCCTTGGGCACTGTCCCTCAGCTCTTCAGCTCAAGGCGAGCGCTCTACCACTTGAGCTACAGCGCCACTTCCGGTTTTCTGGTGGTTTATTGGAAATAGGAGTCTCATGGTCTCTCCTGCCCGGGCTGGCTTTGAACCGCGATCCTCAGATCTCAGCCTCCTGAGTAGCTAGGATTACAGGCGTGAGTCACCAGCGCCCGGCAACCCTAGCTATTCTTTAGGCTTAGGTGCAAGGATCACAGTTCAAAGCCAGCCCAGACAAGGAAAGTCTGTGAGACTCTTACTTCCACTGAACCACCAGAAAACCAGCAGTGGTGCTGTGGCTTAAAATGGTAGAGGCGCTAGCCTTGAGTCAAAGAGTTCAGGGACAGTGCCCAAACCCAGAGTTCAAGCCCCACAAATGACCCAAAAAAAAAAAAAAAAAGGTTGAATGGTTGTGTATTTATTTAAATGAACAGATGTGTGAATGTTAGGAATGACATCTTGGCTCTTTCAGGCTCCAGCCTGGAGAGCTTTGGATCTTCAAAGAAGATCTCCTAGTGAGGACCACTAGCATGCCCATGTGGGCCAATGAATATTTACAGACGTGTGTATGTATGTATGTATGATGGTTTCTCTGGACAAAATGGCTGTTTGAGGGGCTGATGGAGCACTCTAGCTAGGACTAGCTCATCCTTGCTTTCATTTCTCAGGACTTCCTCAATGACCTGTTCTGTTGTTTGTTCCTTGTGGGAGGCGTATACTTTGCTTTGGAAAGTCGCACCACCATGCCAGTAAACTACTTTATTGCTATGGTAAGACTATTCCAGACTATGGTTCCTTCTGAATTCACCTCTTTGGAAGAACTAAGAGCTCTGGTTTTTTTTGTTTGTTTGTTTTTTGTTTTTGCAGTTTTTTTTGGGGGGGGGGGGGTAGGGATGTTTCTTCTTCTGTTTAATCCAAGTGCCACTTTTTACAAAAATCTTGAACTCCAAGCAAAACTGAAAAAAAAGTGAAGTTGGTAAATGTTCTCTGTAGAGATGCCACTTAAAAAAAAGCAGGTTAGACCAGGTGCCAGTGGCTCATGCCTATAATCCTAGCTACTCAGGAGGCTGAGATCTAAGGATCGAGGTTCAAAGCCAGCCTGGACAGGAAAGTCTGTGAAACTCTTATCTCCAATAAACCATTCAGAAAACTGAACGTGGCACTATGGCTCAAGTGATAGAGTGCTAGCTTTGAGCTGAAGAGCTGATGAACAGCACCCAGGCCCAGAGTTCAAGCCCCACAACCGACCAAAAATAAAAGCACGTCTCCAGGGAGCCCACCCCAGGTTAACGGCTTCCTTCTCATAACTTGAGGCTTGAGCCTTAAAGAGACTCATGATGCTGGAGGAGGGGGAATGGAGGATGTGGAGA